GCTCCGCCAGCCCCCCGGGGGCAGCCCCCCGCCGCCGGGAGGGGGAACGGGGGCCCCGAGCGGCAGGAGAGGCTGCAGAGATGGGCACGGAGTGGGTGGCTCAGAAAGCCACCCCCAGCGAAGGGAAAGCCCAGCGGAACCGGGAGCTGGGGGACTGGCGTGGGCAGCCCGCAGGGGCCCACATGAGCGGGAAGTGGCCCCGACGGCTTCGAGTGGGCTGCAGGCCGAAACAGGTCGGGCTAGGACGGGGTCCTCCGAGACCAGGAGGGAAGGGGATGGAGAATTGGGGGAGGGGGCAACAGGGGAGGGGGCTAGGGAGAAGGGAGGGAGGGAGATGGGAGGGGAAGGGGGAAGCGAAGGGTGGCCCTCTGCGCAGGCGCGGTAGGGGCCTGCCCCGGGAAGGGAGCGGGCGGGGGCAGAGGCGCGCGACGGGCCACGACGACTCTTGGGGCCTCTGAGCGCAGGAACAGGGAAGGAGGGGGAGGGGGAGCCGAAGGGCGCGGAGCGCTGGGCCGGAGTGGCCTCCCCCTCCCCGAGGTCGGGGTCTCTTAGCCGCTAAGAAGCGGGGCTGCAGCCTCTGCAGCTGGGCTTCCCACTCTGACAGGCGCCATTTTACCGCCCAGAGGGCTCCCTCCTCCTCTCTTCCCTCCTCCTCTTCCCCGCTGACTGTACTTCCGGTAGTGACGTGTTTTCACTTCCCCGGGATTGATGTTCCTTCAACTCCTTCTGACGAGGGAGGGTAGAGTTAAGGAAAGCAGAGCCTTGAAGAGGGCTGCAGCGTTGCGCACGCGCGCGGGGTGGCTGCTGGGCGGGCCCTGGAGCCGAGTCTTTGACAGTGTGGGCGGGGCCTATCGACGTCATTCACCCCCAGGTTCGGACGTCTTGGGAAGTGGGGCTCGTGAGACCTCTGTCCCCATCCCACAGACAACTGTTCCAACGGCCCCTCTCTCCCTTGTCGTAGCGCAAGAACAGACTGAGGATGCCATCTCCACGGCTGTGCGCAGAGGCTCTGAAGCGGCCCCTCCGAGGGCGCCCGCGCCCCGAGAACACGGAACATTTAAAAAAAAAAAAAAAAAAAAAGATCCTAGGCTCCAGACTTAGGGGACCTTGAATGGCGGAAGCAATCGTAAGCGCCCCGCCTCCTTGGTAGTGACGACATCAGAAAGCGTCCGAAGACGTCAGAGATGCTGGACTCGCTGTTGGCCAGCGGTGGCTTGGTGCTTCTGCGAGGTAAGGCATGGAGACGCGCGGGGAGTTTCGGGCCTGGCTGAAGGGGCGGAAGTCTTGAGGACCCTCCGGGGATCCCTGGCTCGGGGTGGAAGTCGCGGTGGATTATGAAATTGGAGACCGCAGGGCTCTATGGGATTCACACCTGCTTGGCTCTCTACAGATTCCGTGGAGTGGGAGGGGCGTAGTCTCCTAAAGGCGCTTCTCAAGAAATCTGCACTTCGGTGAGTTATCCCGTGGCTTCTCCTGTTCCTTCCGGGGAAGGGACCTGGTGCCTTCACTCTACGACATATTTCCCTCGTCTCTGCTTTAGTGGGGAGCAGATCCACGTTCTGGGCTGTGAAGTGAGTGAGGAAGAGTTTCGCGAAGGTTTTGGCTCTGACGTCAACAACCGGTAAGTGTAATTAGAATGGGTTTCATTCGGACAGCAGTTGGGAAGGGCCGTCTTTTCCATAGAAGAATGGACTCTCGGATTGTGTGGAAATGGGATCGTATGACTTGGAACAGTTGAAGTTACAAACATGACAATCAAGGTTCTAGAGACATTGGCCCAGCTGACCAGCTTGACTGGGAGACAAAGGGATACAACACCGATGGAAAGGGACATCCTGAGGCTGTTGCTCGTAAACAAAAGAGAGCAGTAAATTCAGATATTTTCTGGGGTGAGCTATGAAGATATTTTCCTGTATGAGCGTTCTGGCTTTAATGCTTGCAGGTTAGTCAACCCAGAAGCTGCCGTTTCTCCTATAGTGATGCCATCTGTCATCAGTGTCCTTGCAATTGCTCTGCTCTGGGCCTTATTATAGGCCTCAGGACTACAGATGCAAGAATTGGATTAAGAACACAAAACAAAGCCGGGCAGTGGTGGCGCACACCTTAAATCCCAGCACTCGTGAGGCAGAAGCAGGCAGATCTCTGTGAGTTCGAGGACAGCTTAGTCTACAAGAGCTAGTTCCAGGACAGGCTCCAAAGCTACAGAGAAACCCTGTCTCGAAAAAATCAGAAAAAAAAAAAATTTTAAAAGACAAGACAAAAGAGCGTGCTAACTCCAAAGTATAATAGGCTAAAGTAACCTTTGAACAAAACGTTTTGTCTTTATTTCTTTCTCCCTCGGAAAAGGACACTCTGTTATGCTTTTTTAAGCAGTGATCTCATGCGGCCTAGGCTGCCCTGCAACTCACCCTGTTCCACAATAGCCTCCAGCTCTCGTGGTCCTAGCTCATCCTCCCTCCCCTGTGTTATGATTATGTTGCAAGCCACATTCAATTTATAAAGAATCTTTAATAAAACAGTGGCACAGTGCCGCTGTTGTAGTATGCATCTGTAAGCCCTGCACTCAGAGAAGGCAGATGCGGGAGATCTCTGTGTGATTGAAGCCAGCCTGGTCTGTATAGTGTGTTCCAGGCCAGTCAGGTTTACATAGTGAGACCCTGTTCCTAAATAAATTTTATATACATATATATATGTATATATATATATTTTATATAATATAAATGTAAAACAAAATAAACATCATTTTAATAGGCTCAAATACTTGCAGAGTTATTTAAATGATTTTGTCCTCGGGCTCCTTTCATGATTATATGCTAAAAAGAAAAAATGACTTTACATTTCTTTTTTTGTTTAAAGATTTATTTTTATTTATTATATATACAATATACTGCCTGCATGTGTCCCTGCAGCCAGAAGTTGGCACCAGATCTTATTAGAGATGGTTGTAAGCCATCATGTGGTTGCTGGGAACTCAAGACCTCTGGTAGAACAACTGCTGAGCCATCTCTCCAGCCCCATGACTTTACATTTCTTTGGATTTTTTTTTTTTTAATGTTATATGTGTGAGTGTTTTGCCTCCATGTATATATGGGTACCATGAGCATGCCTTAGTGCCTGCATAAATCAGAAGAGGGTGTTGGATCCTCTAGAGTTATATGTGGTTTGAGCTACCATCAAATCAGGACCCTCTACAAAAGCAACAACTGCTTTTAACTACTGAGCCTTCTCTCCAGCCACTCAGGACAAGATGACTTTCAAATGACTAGCATGTCTACAGTACTGAAGTAAGTGGAATCTAATTCTAAAATTGAAGTAGCAGAGAATGATACAGTATGAAGATGGACATACCAAGCCTTCCATCCCGTTTTCATGAGGGAATGAGGAGTGGTGGCAACTTGGGACAGTCCTACAAAGGATCCTAGAAGTTGAGAGTAATAGACATAAAAGGTGGGCAGTCTGTCTTAGCCCTAGAGGATAAATAAACTCTGCCCTCTGAGTTATTCTAATGGTGCTTACTTCAGTCATAGAATCCAGGCTTGCATCAGCACTAGCTGCAGCATATTGATGGACTTTTCCTAAAAACAAAGGGAGCAACAAAGTAACGTATGAGAAGGCAGGAGAGGTCAGGTAGATAAAGAGGTAGCTGACTGTAAAAAGGTCTTACAGAGCACAATAGAGGTTTAGATGTTATGCCAAGGACAGTTGGGAGGAGAGTTAGTCATACCATACCTCTTAGAAACACTAGTCCATTGATTATCATGTAGAGAATGTAACAAAAAAAAAAAGGCACTTGGAAGTGGAGACTAGGCAGGAAGTTAGTGCAGGATCCAGGTTCACTCACTAGGTCAGTGTGTACTGAATACCAGACTAGGAGCCATGCTAAGACACTGGTGACAGAGCAACGGATGAGACAGACTTGTTCCTGCTCCAGTAAATCTCAGAAAACATGGGGAAGAAATGACAGAACACTTGTGTGTGGCAGGATCTCTAAAGAGGGAGTTTTTGTTGTTTGGATTTTGTTTTGTTTTGTTTTTTTGAGACAGGGTCCCACTATATAACCCTGACTGGCCTTAAACTTGCTATATATACCAGGCAGACCTTGAGCTCACAGAGATTTGCCTGTCTTGGCCTTCTGAGTGCTAGGATTATAGACTTGCCCCGTGCCTACTTTGGTATAATTTTTGTTTGTTTGTTTTTGTTTTTCAAGATAGGGTTTCTGTGTGTATCCCTGGCTGTCCTGGAACTCACTCTGTAGACCAGACTGGTCTCAAACTCACAGAGATCTGCCTGCCTCTGCCTCTGGAGTGCTAGGGTTAAAGACATGCACCACCACCCGGCCAAGGTTTATTTTTTAATATTGTGCATGGGTATGGGTATGTGCACATGAGTATAAGTGCCCGTGGAAGTGAGAAAAGGGGATCGGATTCCCCTGAAAGTCGAGTAAGCAGTTGTAAGCCTAGTAGGAACTGAACTCCAGTCCTCCAACTCTAACCCCCAGAAGGGGAGTTTAGAACAATTGTCAAAAGAACTTTAAAGGGTAGAATTGCCAGTTAGATGACCCTGGGCAAGGTTCAAAGTCAACCTTAGAGCTTAGGTTATGAGACACCAAAGTCTGCTGTCAATCACTAAATTCTTTCAGTAGTTACTTTCATTAATATATAAGGTATTGGTGAGAATTAAGGGCTGGGCGGTGGTGGCGGCACATACCTTTAATCCCAGAGCTTGGGAGGCAGAGGCAGGTGGAGCTCTGTGAGTTCAAGGCCAGCCTGGTCTACAGAGTGAGTTCCTGGACAGCCAGGACAGTTACACAGAGAAACCCTGGCTTGAAGAACTAAAAAATAAACGAATGAATGAATAAATTTGAAAAAATCAGAAAAAAATTCAAGGTTGTAACATGTTTTCCATTTTCCCTTTATAGGCTGGTTTACCATGACCTCTTTAAAGACCCTCTTAACTGGTCAAAAACTGGCGAAGCTGTCCCCGAAGGACCCCTAGGAACCTTAAGAGCCTTGTGCAGAACAAGTCCTGGCCCTGTCACCATTGCTCTTGACTCCCTCAGCTGGCTGTTACTTCACCTTCCCTGTGTTACACTCTGTCAAACTCTGCATGCTCTAAGCCAGCCAAGTGTCTCCCCAGGTGAGTTTCCTCCTTTGTTAATTTCCGTTCATGGAGTTACTCCTGCCAAAGAATGTCACCCCTTCCTCTCCACTCCAACAAGAGGCATCAGGATCTCCAGTCCTGTGTTCCACCATCTCCTTAACCTTTTGGGGAAAATTGGGGGATGGAGTGTTGGTTGTTGGAGATGTGTTGTTTTAAGACTATGTGTCTAGCTTGGCATGGTTGGGCACATCTTTAATCCTAGCACTCAGGAGGCAGAGGCAGGTGAATCTCTGAGTTTGAGTATAGCCTAGTCTACATAGTGAGTTCCAGAACAACCAGAGCTACATGGTGAGACTCTCTCTCAGAAAGCAGAAAGAAGGGCCAGGCAATGGCATTCCATGCCTTTTAATCCCTGCACTCAGAAAGCAGAGATAGGTGGATCTTTGTGAGTTTGAGGCCCCTGTGGTATATACAGCTAGTTCCAGGACAGCCAAGGCTACACAAGCACTGT